AATATTGAACCTTCATTGGTTAAAGATCCTCTTACGAAGGTCAGCCATCTAGGGGATATTCAATAGTTTGGTTTCTTTTGGTTCAAAGGAAAGATTAGAAGGGGGGAGTGTATGAGCTGTAAGAATGGAAACAAATGGAAATTTCCAAGGATTCCTGACTGTCAAGCAGGTTACATAGGTGGGCTATATAACTGCCTTTGGGCTTAGTTCTCTTGTCTTGAAAAAAGTGGGAAGGGTGCCGTTGGTCACATTATCAACGGCTGCTATAAGGTCCTAAATTCTAGAATTTAGGAGGGACTTCTAGATGTCAATTTTGGAAGCTGCTTAATTGTGATGCTCCTATTAGCTAAACACAGACTAAAAAGGAGATGAACTGATCCCTATCAATTGAGTGAAGTAAGTACGAGAGGGGAATCGTGTTCAAGCTGAGGGCTTCACAGAAATGTAGAAATTCAATGGGAAGTTATCATCACAGCGAGTAATTCATGAGTTCTCAATTGCTGTCTCACCTTTATCTGTTGTTTTCCTTCCTTGGTCCAAAGGCACGTATAGCTAGATGGCTATGTAGGGGCCAGGGAATACTAATTAATCCTAATCTTGCATATTGATGAAAGATTCTCCCTGCTTCCCCATGATTCCCCATTGTATCCAATGATACATCGGCTTGCAAGATAGGACCACACCGGAAATAAAGCAGTTCTGGTCACGGAGACTCATCTGGAGACCAAACTGCAAGGTGAACTGGGACTCTGGCCATCTACTAAGTCCATGTTCTCGTGGAGCCACTTTCTTCCCTCTGGCTGAAGGGTATTGCCCAAAAAGCAAAGGAGTAGAAAATCTTCTGGGATCTCTGCAAAAGTTAAGCACCCATTAGTATTGTCAGGTCTGCTTGACATGATTCACTGGGTAGAGTCTCCTACTCCTTTACTTAACGTTCATTTTTTTTTTAAATCTTCTGAAAATGCAATGATTTCTCTTTAATCCTATTTGCTTTTGTTGCTTTGGTAGAGGTAGAAGAGAAGAATAGGGGAAGCATGGATAAATATCTAATGTTGGAGTGAGCAAGGAGAACCAGCATTTGGACAGCATCTCCGCATTTATATAAATTGATGACAGAATCACTTTGTTTTTTTTAAGAGTAAGCAAAGTCCTTTCTCTGCTGGCCATAAGCAAGCATATTTGAAGCGTATACTTGCACACTTCATTATATAATTAGAGAATGAGGAAGGGGGGGGTGCATTTAGTACTTGGATATAATTTTTTCCTTACATTATAACTCCCTTGTAGGATTTCAAAACCCCTGTCATTCCTCAGGGGAAACTGAGGACCCCACCTTTCTCCTTCGCTAAAACTTCCCTCTGATTTCTCACTGCAGATTGACGGTCCTGCCCCTCATATTGACTGGGGTGCACAGAGCTCTTTCAACGGTCTGCATGGAAAGCAACCGTTTATCAGTATTGTTCATTACATCCCTGCAACTGCCTTTACTAATTTTCTTTCCAGGAATGATTGTGAAACATGCAGAAGGAAAAAATTTATATTCGAGTAGATTGGGTTGGGAAAATGTGGTAAATGGCCTCCTATAGATACTGGATTTCAACACAAACACTGGTACCATGCCATTTGCATGTCTCCACTACAAAAACCACAATGCTAAAGAAGGATAGAGATGCCCAGCTGAGCTAATAAAGATTCTTAGGATTCCTTACACAGTTCATGCTTTTTGATTGCCAAATATTCCCATTAAGGCAGCATTTTTGTTCCATAGCCCTGATTTGAGCTCTGTGCCTTCTTGTCCATAACAAAAAGAGGATGCTCATGAATCTTCTTTAACTTGATGAGGATCCTTAAGCTGGAACTTAAGGAGTTCCTACTCTTACATCAGACCTCCCACAGAAAAAGTTGAAACCCCCATAAGGCAGCTATGGGTGAGCATCTCATTTCTCTTAAAAGCTGTTTCTGTGTAATGGGTGTATGGGGGGAACTTAAAAGACTTTCTCCCAGAGAGGAGTCAAATGAGATCCAGAGGCAAATCCCTGATTTCCTAAAATTCTTGAGAACTGGTTTCATTGCAGTGTTAATAACCCATCGATTAGAAAGCCAAACTGAAAGAGCTTAAATTGTAGCCTGAATTTTGATGTGAGCCCTTCTGAAGCTCAAGATTATTAGTGAGAAGTACGAACTTGCTTGGACTTCAAGCTCTGAACTTCTCAAAATGTTCCTCACCAATAAATCTAATTATTATTGCCTTGCAGTGATTCTTACAAACAATGCGCTTGGCTGCCTGGTCCACCCACACTAAGTGAAGGAATATGAACATTTTAATTATCAGATTATTTCAGTGTTGCACAAACATTGCTTCATATTAAATATTTTCAGACCAATGACACATTTGTATTCCGTGCTCTGAGTGAATGATACTTGTTCCCTGCCTACTAATGGCTATAATTAATATCTCTAAAGCACCTTGATATTATATTTCACGCCAGTCTCCCCTACGTAAGGTCACTGTGAGAGTGAGATTTTTCTCTACTGCCTTTCCTTGGCCAACATTTTCATCTGTATATAATTTCTGCTGAGTAAGCTGTCAGGGTGAAATTAATTTTTTACAGTGCAGCTGGGGAGAAACATACTGCCCTGCTTCTAAAACCATTCCCAGTCCATATGTATAGCTGCAAATTTTATGAATGTCTCAAGTGACATCTCCACCGATGCTTTAGAAGCGCTGTAGAAGCGGCAGCTCTCGCTTTGTAAATTAAAGCTCAGACGGTTGTGAGTGCATGTGGTAAAGTAACCCTGCTCATGAGGCACCAGGGCATAGATGCAGGGCCGGATTTTCTGCTGTGCTGCCTTCGGTTGTCGTGATGGTGCTGTGGCCTCCTGAAACGCTTCTGGACAGCACTGGCAAATGCTCCACAGCTCAAGGCTAGCGGATGCTGCGGAGTTGGCCTGTGTCCTGTGGAGCAACCTTGCTCAGTAGACAGACTCCAGACGGGGAGCGAGCAGAGTTCAAGAGGAGCTGGCAAGGAGTTGGGTTTTATCTCTTTTTTTTCAGGTAAGCAGCAGAACAGATCTTACAACTATGGCATAAATCAGAACAGGCCTCTGGCGGCTCTGCCCTGGGCTAGCGCTGGCTGTGCTGGCCCCTGGGGCTGTGACTCGCTCCCAGGTGCCTCCTGCTTTCCCTTCATCAAGTTTTCCTTCAAGCTGCTTACGCAGAACTGAGAAACCACTGCCAAGTTTGATGGAGCACCGCTTCCCTACAGTGCAGGGTAGCGGCCTACTAGAGGAGTAGATGCCATTAAAACCCAAAACACTATTTCTTCTAAACAAAAGATGCCAAGAAGTTTCGTTCTTGGGGAGATACTAGTCATCTAGTAACAGCAGAGTGCAGTGATGAGTTTGCATTTCTTTCTCTGCCTTCTCCTTACCTCAGACTGGTGTAGTAGTGACTTTGAGCAGCAGTGTGAGCTCTAGAACAGAGTTTACTGAGTCTCAGTAAACTTGAGTCTTATTGAGCCCTGAAACAGGCTTTCCTTCCAGCATTAGACAAATTGTGAATCATGCATTTGCAATTGTAAAATAGCAAATATTTTGATACTTCTCTTAGTTTTATGTTCTGTGTAGAACAGGGCATGCAATTGCTCTTCAGCTCTGGTGCGGGGTGAGGGAGGGGAAGTGCTGATGCCAAGGGCAGCACGAGGCTGCGGCAGGGACTGCCCATCGTATGGGGCGAGCGCAGCACCATGTGCTGACAGGAGCACTGCTGGGAGGGCCCTGGGGCACTACAGACAGGGCCAGGAGCTGATGTGAGGAGCCCTTGGTGCGGCTCTGCCAGCCCTATATCTGCCAGTAGTGTTTACTACTCTCCTATGGCATGCTGTGAAAGGCCATGACTGGTTCATTTGCTTCTGCGAGTGAGTTCTCAGAGGAAGGAGAAGCCTTTGGGTCTTGGGACAGTGGGAAAGTGTTTAGAAGTAATTGGGAATGTATGGAAAAATTCTGAGGGGAAAAAAAAAATCCTGGGGCTCACAAGAGTCAGTGCTCAAGGGCAGAATCTGGGGGTTTGGGTTCTCTAATGAGAGAGTTAAAAACTTCTAAGAGACTAGGCCAGTGGGGGTGGTGTGGGCTTGAAAGTAGTAGTAGTAGGGCAAGTTCTTTCACACTGCTATCTGCTGCTTATGCCTTCTGATCTGCATCTTAGACTATACCTTTCCTCATTTCCCTTTAAACTTCCTGAAATATAGATGTGTATGTGCTACAAAGAGCAATCTAGTGTTTGTGGAGCACATTAAATATCAAAAGGGCTATGTAACTGCTAAGCTTAGTAAGCATTATTCATTAATGGTAGCCTAACATAGAAGACAGCAAGAATTCAGTGGGTTTTCTTTCCAGTGTGCTTTCCACCCGCATGAAGTTTATTCTTCTCCCTGCTGAAAAATGTTCTGCTCTGCAGTTGTCACCTCCACCCACCCTTAGCATGGTGGGATCTCAGCTCTATTGTTGCATGTTCTGGAACTGGAGAGGGCAGAAAGCAAAAGCTGCAGAACAGACTAATTGAGCTACACAAACCTCTGTTTAGTTGGCTCAAATGCAATGTGCTGAAGGGTAATCTCTTTGTGATTTTTATTTTATTTTTTGGTGTGCTGGAAGATGGCTCTGTGTGCGGTAGGGACAACTGTTGCAAAGCGCTTGTGCCTTGGAAGGGCACAGTTAAAATAATCGGAGTGTTGGCGTCTGAGTACAAGCGCAGCCAGAGATGCTGCTTTGGCACGTTCCCCCTGGGACAGGGAGCGTGTGCACTTGTGCACACGCGTGTGTGCACATGCGGGTGGAGGTGGGACTGGAGTTGCCAACTTGTTGCTGACACGTTTTTTGTTCTGCTTCATACCACTATTTTGTATGTTCCCCTGAAATATCTTGTCTGGGCTCTGTGCAGGCATTGTCTAATCAGCTGTTTGTTTATTTCTACCCTCTCTCTCCCCCTCCTTCTCCTCTAGTCAGCATATGCGGTGTCAGTGCTCAAGGAGTGTGCTAAGCTGCGACCTGCAGATCCCACCGTTCCTCTCCTGGCTGCCAAGGTCTGCATTGGGCCCCTGCACTGGGTAAGCAAGCTGATGCAATTCTTATGTAACGTGTCGGGTACCGCAGTGACAGTGCCATGGTGGAGCTGCAGACGGGGAGGAAGGAGAGGAAGGGGAATTCCCATTAAAAATCTCGTAAGCACACACATGTGTGCATCCAAATGAACAAAAATTCATCATAAATTTTAGCAGTAAGTCCAACCCAAACTGAGTGTTGCTGGCATATTAAACAAAGGGTGTGGGGAGGGGAGTCATAACAGCACCTTGGGGATTGCTCCTTCAAGGGAATATCCGGAGTGAAATTGGCCACCCTTGTAGCCCCTGGAAGACAAAAGTTAATCATTGTAAGTGGGTTTGGTTGTTGGACTGTCAGCCAGTTCAGCTCTGCTGGACGGCTCGATCCTTTGTTCCTGAAGCTGCTGTGTCAGGGTTTTCCATTCTGGATGCACTAACGTATGCCCCAGAAGCGGGGTGGGAGTGGAAGTCTGTGCCTGTGAAATCCTGATTATTCAAGGAGCAGAAACATCTGTCAGTCTTTTTGCTGCGGTTTAATTAACTGAATGGCAGGCTGCTGTTTTCACCTCTGTCCTCACCACAAGGTGTCCCTGCAGTCAGTGAAGGATTAGAGTTGCTAATATAAGTCAAACAAAGACGGGAAAGCAAGAAAGAAAATACCAGAAGAATCTGCCCAGGTTTGGGGGAAAATTGTAGAGACTAAATTTGTTGTGTCCCGTCACCCTCTCTGCCACCAATCCCCTACATCACTGTTTGATGCAAGCCTATATTATTTAGAAGAACTTGAGTTATATCAGTGAGGAGATCCGGTCTTAAATGTTTTTGAATGAGCTTTGCTCTTCTGAATTATAATGGGGCTAAGATCATCTGTGACTCAGAAAAGATTGAGACACACCTTGTTACAGGGAAAAAAAAATCTCTCAGGCCAGAGGGCCTTGACAGCAGCCTTGCAGAATTTATCCAGCCTCTCTCTGTTCTTTAGTAATTTAGCCCTCCTGTACCTTTAGCTCGATATCTCCATTTTAAGGGTTGAAAGTTCTATACACAGCAAATTGCTTTTATTAAAGAATGTTTTTATTGATACATAGAGACTTGAAAACAGTATCTAAGCCAGACCTAAGATCTGTGTTGAACATTGTTATTAATAGATCTATTGATGTAACTTTCAAAGCAAGGTTGTCTTGTCATTAGTATAAAACATCATCAAGTATATTAAATATTTCTCAGTGTAGGCTCTCAGCTAGAGGAGCTCCATGGGCTAAGTGGCTGCATTCTTAGGGAGCCACCGTGTGGGACTACAAGGCCACGATGCCACTTCTAGCAGTTCTGCAGTCTCAATTCTTGTCAGCAGAATATTTGTTACTTTAGAGAAGAATCTTTCTCTGAGATCAGGCTAGTTTTGACCTAGAAGCCTCAATTTTAGTATGGAGAATAAATTTGGGGTCTCGGTATTTCAAATTATCCTCCTGCCTTTCTGCTTTATGAACATGGATCCAACAAGGAGGAAGCACAGAATGAATGAGGGGAAGAGCTCTGCTGATAACAGAGTAACAGAGAAGAACAAGTTGGGAAATTGAAAGCTGGACCAACATGAGAGGGTGAAGTTGAGAATCCTGAAAGGAGAGAGCAAGGCAAATAGCAGAATCACAATCCTAGGCCTCAGAAGAGCAAACGTTGGTTTCTTTAGGGACCTGCTTTTGGAAGAATTCCATGAGTTATGGTCCTGGAGAGAAGAAGAGTCCAGGATGGCTGGTTTGTTTTTCGAGGATCACCTCTTCAGGAAAGATTCATCCTGGTATATATGAAGTTGATCAAGTATCAGCAGCAGGAGGCCTGCATAGCTGAATGAGAAAATCCTTACTAAAGTGAAGCATAAAAGGGAGAGTACAGGAGGTTAAAACAGGGACAGATGATCCAGGAGGAACATAGAGACACTGCCCAAGTGTGAAGGGGCAGCGTTAGGGAAGTCAGACCTTGTCTGGAGTTGATTCTGGTAGGGAGGTGAATGGCAAAAAGAAAGGTTTCTACAGGTATATCAGCAGCAAAAGAAAAGCTAGGGAAAATGTAGATGTGCTCCTGAACAGGGCCTAGGACCTGGTGATAAAGACCACAGAAGGCTGAGGTACTCTGTGCTACTTTTGCCAGTTTTTACTGCTAAGGTTTGCCCTCAGAACCTCTGGAAACCCGTGGGAAGGTATGGAGCAGGAAGACTTCTGTGAGGAAGACTCACCCTCAGTGGAGGAGGATCAAGTTAGGAAACATTTAAGCAGCCTGAATGAACACAAGTCCATGGGACTCGATGGGGTGTACTTACAAGTGCCAAGGCACCTGACTGATGTCATTGTGAGGCCACTGTCAATCCTTGAAGAGCCATGATGATTAGGGGACTTTGCTGAGGGCTTGAAGAAAAAAAGTGCTACTTCTTTCTTCAAGAGGGGCAAGGAGGAGAAGAAAAAAACTGCTTTAAGGGCAAGAAAGTGTTTGGGAATTGGGCTTCACCCATATGATGCCCTTGTTCAATGAGATGACTGGATCTTCATCTTCAGGAGAGCTACCTGGACTGAAGGGTTGTGATCAGTGGCTGGAGATGGCGAACTTCTGGTGTACCTGAGAGGAATCATACTTAGGCTAGTGCTGCTCAAATGCTCCCTGGATGTTATGGATGATGGGGCAGAGTGTACCCTCAGGAAGCTTGCAGATGATGTAAAAGCAAGAGGTATGGCTGATAAACAAGATGCTTGTGCTTCTACTCAGGAGGACCTCAGCAGTCTGGAGAATTCGGTCAACAGGAATCTCATGAAGTTCAGCCAAGGAAAATGCCAAATGTCGTATTTGGAGAGCTGTGTCCAGTGCTGGGCTCCCCAGCACAAGACAGACAACAGACATATGGGAACAAGCCCAACAAAAGGGGTATACTCAAAACCCAGCTGTATCTCAGAAACCTCTTCTAGTTTTCCCTGCCATGAGAAATGGGCTGGACCAGGTGACTTGCTGAGGTTCCTTTCAATTTCTGTAATTCTGTAATATATCCTGATATATCCACTAGAGTCTCAGTTCTGGCTATTGAACTTCAAGCAGACAACAAATAGCAAATCTCTGACCTCAAAAAGTTGAATTAAGTTCTAGCAAATGCACTTTACCAGAGTTGTTGGTATTTGTTGAGGTGAAAGGGCTGGGTTTCTGTACTGTGAGAAAAGAAATAGCATAGGATCTTTCTCTCTTGCGTGTGCTAGCTCAGCATTTACCCAATTTTCAGTACTAAGGCTTGAATTTCAAACTGAGCCCTTTAGCTGTGTCTACCACTTGTGATGACAAGGGTGAACTGTCAGGGTCAAGACACAGTCAGGGTGAAGAGCTGAATGTACAGTTAAGAGCCTAAATTGAAGATGTTTCAATTATATTCATTACTACTTTCTCAGAACATCCTTTTGAATCTGCCAGTACAGTTAGTATGTAGAAAATGCATCTTCTCTTGAAGTGTCTCTATAGCAAGGTAATTCAGCCATAAATCTGTCCTCAGGCAGTCCAGGATCTCCAGATTTCATATACGACAGGTGATCAAACGACAGTGTAAGCCTAAATAAATAGGAGAAAGAAGGAAGAAAGTTCTCCAATTGCTGTTCTTTTTGACTGTGTGAAACACTTTTTTTCAGTGATTTTTAGATCAGACCCTCACACAGAACTGGGATGTGGCCTGAAATGCAAATGTTATTTCCCAAGAGCCTGATCTTACTGCAGTATTCTGGAGTGGAACCTGACAGACTAAAACTAAATGAAAAATCCCTGTCCCCTCTTCCTTTCACTCTGGGGCTTATGCTCTACCCTTATGCCAAAGTTCTGATGGAACTGTACAAGCCTTATGCTTAGAGGTAGCAAGAGGGGGAAACTCAAGCATTTTTTGGAGAGAAAAAAAGAAAAAAATGTTAGTGATATGAGTTAGAAATGTTAGAAATAGTTAGAAATGCTCATGATATTACTGACAAACTCCTTTGCCTAATAAAGATCTTCCTGCTTAGGTGAGCTGTTTTTCTAAATGTCATCCTTACAGTAATTATTTGCATTTAAATTACATGGCAATCAAATCAGAATTGAATCATTTAAACTGGAAGTGAACAAGTTATTCAATGCCAATATAAATAGAAAACAGGATAGGCAGGGCACTGGAAGAGTTTGATAGTTTATATATTACATATTAACAGTCAACCACTCAAACATACCTTGCTTTTCAGAAAGAAAATATGATTAATTTCTCAATTAGGAAATATACGTATGTACTTGGTTGCTGGTGAATAAGGAAAAGAGTGAAGTCTGATCACCATTTATAAAAATCTCCTGCATCTGCCTGCTGTCTGCTTTTGGTGCAGTATTGTACCTAATTTGTTTATAGTCCACAGAAAAGCAATATTTTAGACTTTTTTTTCAAGTAACTGACATAATTTAATGTCATTTATTCTGCGGGATAGTTGCAGAATGTCATGAGGAACAGTTTTTTGTTTGTTTGTTTCTCCTCATGAATCAGACGGTCATTTTGTGTTGCTGGCTTTGTTCATATTGATATTTTGGCACACTTTAGGAGCCAAAAATAAATATTAATTGAAATGTATTTAACGACATACAACATTGAGGATGCCCAAATCAGATGAAACAATCTTGCAAATGCAGAATAAATCAAAATAAAAGCATACATTCATAATGTGCCGTGCAAATCGATATGTATCAGAGCCTGATGTGGACAAGAGCCGAACGCCCCCAGCTCCTGCTGTGACGGTTTAACCAGATTATTAGCTGATGCGAGCTGGCACTGCTCCACTAATGTTTTGTTGGCACCAGGCTGGTTTACACCAGCGGATGATCTGCTGTCACCAAGCCCAGCTTTCAGGACTGGGCCTGCAATAAGCAGCTGAGGGAGGTAGGCAATGTTTTCATCATTCTGTTTTCAAATTACAGATTTTTCACAAATAAAACAAGGCAGGGGGAACAGTAAAACAATATTCTGTTAGTTCTAC